TCTTTTATGTACAAGTTGAATATGCTAAAGCTGAAGAAACATTACAGACTATAGAGGAAGTTTTTTATGGCTCCAATAAATAAGTTATCTGATATTATTTCTGCAAGGCTTTCCATAGTGATGAATGAGTCAGTTTGGGGATATGCAACACAAACACTGCTAAACTAGCAGGATAGATGTGGGCTACTCCCCTTCATAGTAGTTCCCGCAGGACAGCAGTCCTCCAGGTTTTGGGTCCCTTTAATGCTCTTGAGAATAATTGAAGACACAAAGGAACTTTGGTTTATGTGAGTTTTTGTAACTTAATATTTCCTATAAGCCAAAAATTAAAAGTATAAAATGTTAGGTATTTATTAATTCATTAAGTATAACAATTATAAACACATTTAATCTCAACAGAAATAGCATCTTCTAAAAAATAACTACTTCACAAAAAATAAAAACAGTAACGTTGTTTTACATTTTAAAACCTGTTTAAGATCTAGCTTAGAAGATGAGTTCTAGTATTTATGTGTTACTCTGTTATGATTTTTGTGAAGTATTATTTATATATTAAAGTATATAAAGAAAATATAGCATATAAAACATAATATATAAGAAAACAGGTAAGTAATTAGAAGGAAGAATTTTATTTTTAAGACTTAAAAGAGTTTTAGTTGATACACAATATTTACCATATTATGAAGTACAATGCAATATTTTGATTCATGTACATACACCGTTGGGTAATGATCAATTCGGAATAATTGATATATGTACCACTTTAAATTTTTATCATTTCTTTATGATAAAACATTCAAATTTCTCTCTTTTAACTATTTTGGATTTATAATGCATTATTGTTAATTATATTTACCCTTTTATGCCATAATAACCAGAGCTTATTAAGAAGGAGGAATCCTGGAAACATCTGACTATCAAGACAAATATCACTTATAAAGGAAGAGGAAACTAGGTTGGCTTTAAGACTTCTCTACTAGACTTGGTAGTAGAAGATTATAAAATAAATCCTACAGTTCTATGGAAAAAAATGTGATTTGAGAATTTGATGTTTAAATTGGAAAAATAAAACCAATATCCAAATAAAAATATTTAATTTACATCAGACTAACTCCCCCATAAACAAAAAAATTATAATTTCTGGCAAAATATGTTTTCTAAACACAACCATTAGAAATATCAGGGAATGAGCAATAGCAGGCAGTGACCGAAGGGAAGTTGAACCTTCAAAGAGGTGCCTGAGGTGAAAACAGTTGCAGTTTTTGGATATGATACTCCTTAGTTTACATTGTATAAGGGTGAATGAAATTCAAACAGAAAGTGGAAAATATTACTGATTTGAGGTATCAGAGGATGGTTTGGAATCATCAGAGGGTTGGAAAATGAGGGAGGTGACAGAAATCCTGGAAAGAAAAGGGCTATAGAGTAAGAAGCCCCAATCTGCATGTTACAAAACTCCAGCCAACACATGCTACAAACTCATGCCTGAGTTATTCATGCATGGGTTGGAATGGAGGAAGTATGAGTGGAAAGAAACAGCTGAATGGCTAAAAGTACTAAATGGAGATTTTAGTAGGTGACTGCCACAGAAGACCTTATGTGTGAACTTTGAGAATATCTAGGGCACACACAGAGAAACAGAACAAAAAAAGAAGAGAAAAACCCCAGTAGTTGTGACAATATCATACATATTGAACTGAAATCCCAGTAGAAACAAAAAATAGAACAAAATAAATTAGGGGAAGAAATTTCCCAATCTTGTGAAAAGCATCAAATCACAGATTTAAGAAATTCAGTAAGTACCCAGTATGCTGAACACAAAGAATTATATAAGCACATAACGTACAAATTGCTAAGCACCAAAAATAAGACAAAAATCTAACACTGAGGATAAAAGGTGCATAACATAGACTAAGGATCAGAAAACTATGGTCTCTACACCAATCTAGCCTACAGCCTATTTTTCATGTAGTTTGTAAGCTAAGAATAATTTTCATATTTTTAAAATGACTAAGCTATTTACTATCTGGCCTTTTACAGGTAAAGTGTCCTGAACCAAGTAATTATTCACATGCAAGGGTCAGAAGTAAAAACAGATATGCAAATCTGAATCAGAATTGTGGACTACCTACCTCTCTTTTGACTCCAATTCCTAGAAAAGATGCCCCAAATAACAAATATATATGAAGTTCTAGAAGATCCACCAAGGTTGACATTAGCAACCTTAACAAGAAATTTCATGTAACTACTCAAAGATATAAATCATATGCAGTGATATTTACAAGGTGATAGTGAGGGAAACACAGCTCAACCAGTGATTCTATAAGTTTCAGTGTATAGACCTGAATGGTAATTAATTAAACACTTAGAATCATGAATTAACTAAATAATAGCTTTCAGAAGAGTTGGCTGAGTAGGTCAGCCCCTCCTCTCTCTGGTCTTCCTGGAGGAACACATTGGGAAAGTATCTCTGTAACAGTGGTTTTAATTTTACTTGCATATCAAAATCATCAAAGGAGCTATACAAAATAGTGAGCCTAGATTCTGAGTAAACTGCTGAAAATTGAGGCCCTGTGTTTGGTAGTAGAGACACAGCATAAAGAAAGGAAAATAAACTTGCCTTACAAATCTCATTTATAGAGTAATTGAGGAGTTTGTTCCTGGTGCAGCAATTTGGCATGCAGTTCAAGAATCAGAGGAGAATACAAAAATATATCCAAGTAAATTGGAATTTTAAATGATCTATAAGTACACTATTTAATAATTGAGTCCTTTGGAAAAAACATCATGGGGAAAATAACCATCTTCCTTATGAAAATAAATTCCAAATGGATTAAAGAATTAAATCAAATACGGAAGAAACGACGAAGTAACTACTACAGGTGGGTATTTTTATAATCTTAGGTAAGTATTAACAAAAATGCCACAAAACTGAAACTCTAAAGCAAACATAATTTAAATGTACTAAATAAAAATGTTAGAACTCATCTGTTGGCAAAACACATTAGTATCCAACTAGCAATACAGCTGAAAGTGAGGATGCCTATAGTCTACACAGAGACAAGAATGTTCCTAAAAATCAGTACAAAAATGTTCTACAGGCACACAGGAAAAGGCCATAATAAGCACAAACCACTGTAACAACAAACACTAAATCAAGTGCTATTAAGACCTTCACAAGTGAGTGCGAATTACACCAATCACTAAGCGGATACACTTGCTTTTGGTCACCTCTGCCATCCTGCCAATTAGGCAAGTACTTACTCTCTGCAATCCGCTCTTGACTGCTTGTGATCCTTTCCTTTAACGATTTTGCAGGGGCTTTCCTGCTTCCATGGATGGTTGTTGTGGAGAGTTCTTTCAGTTTCCAGTGGCTCCAAAAGCCCCTTTGAGGTTTTTAGACCTGTTAATATAAAATGTGTATTCAGCCCAATAAGATTTCACTTTCAAATCAGAACTTTCTAAGTGTTTTTAGATATAGTCATTACTTTTTTTTTTTGGTGGTACTGGGTTTGAACTCAGGGCCTTGTCCCACCACTGAAGCCATACCTCAGCCCTTTTTGCTTTTGTTTATTTTTCAGATAGGGTCTTATGTTTTTGTCCAGGGCTGGCCTCAGACTATGATGCTCCTACCTCTGCTCCTGCCAGCTGGAGTTATATATGTGAATAACCACAACTAGCTTGGTTTTTGAGATAGAGTCTCCCTAGATTTTTGTCTGGGCTGGCCTCCAACTGTGATCCTCCTATCTCTGACTCCCAACAAACTGGGATTACAGATGTTCGTTGCCACATCTGGCCTCAGTCATCACTTCTTTAGCATTAGTTGCCACTAGATAAATTATTCAGAAGCCTTTAGTTTGATTCACTTGAGTACTTCTTGACAGCCTATGTTTTAAAATATTGAGTATAACAATAAACGTGATATATGCTAAAGCCAACAGATCAGCTAATGTAAAGAATGGTTTCTTATTATTTACAGTTCCCAAGAGGAAGAGGCATGCCACACCACAGGGAGCCACATGGGGAAGCACTGAGGTCAGTCAGAAGGCTAAGGAAGAAGGGGAAACCATATTTGCAGTTTTTTCCTTAGAAAGGAATAGGTAAGATAAGGTAATCAGGCTTATAATCAGCTAATTTGAATAATTTCTTCAGGCCCTAGGACCTAGGGGCTGTCTCTAGTTGCCTGGTACCTGCTCCTGGAATAGGCAAGGGGCTAGCCTTCTGAGTTTGAGAACCAAGTAAAGAGGGTGATTGTGATGTGGGCTCTAGATTGGTTTGGATTTGAGAATGGGTAAATTATTTGCTATCTGTAGAAACTAGCTAGGAAGAGCAAGTTCCAGGGTTAGGAAGGTTCCAGATATTAAAATCATAATACAGAAAAACATAACTCATGGTTAATACAGTCTAGTGTTGAACAACTCTTTCATTTCTGGGGTAAGCCCTCCATGGTACTGATATATAAAGAAAGATAGCATAGTACTTCAAACATTCTTGAAGGCTTTCTATGTACCAAACTATGTGCTTGACACAAGGGATACAAAACCCAATTTATTTTAGTTCCTGTCTTCTGTTATGGCTGCTGTGAAATTATTTAGCAGTGAATTACTTACTGGATGGTGCCTGGTGCACAGTAAGCACTTTATATAAGTCACTCTGTTGCTTCTTTTACAAGTTAATCACTGAATGAGTTGTGATTACATCCTGACATTATTTACAAGCAAGAAAAGTCAAATGGGTTTTTAAATATAGACTATTCAAAAAATTGGCATTAATCTAAGCTCACAACACTCAAAGTGTATTCTTTATTTTTTATAATTTTTTAATCTAGTAGGATCTATTAAATTTCATCAGAAATTGATACTACATGGGGCTTAAAAACAAATGGCATACAAAATAAAGAGCTGAATCCCAAAATTATCTTTGCAATTACTTTCTGTGTTTTAAATTTTAATATTTTTAAGCTTATATAGATGTTTTTATTTGCATAGACAAAAGACAAAGGTAACGTTAGATCAGGTGACATTTTATTAATTAGTAGGCTCAATTATTTTAGTAAATATGACAGCTAAAAATGATAATAATGTGATAAATATTCTTTCTTATTTGTCTTTATAGACAGAACTTAGTAGAAATAGTGTGTCGTATATTTCAACAAACACATTGGAAATTTATTTTCATTCTAATCATGGATAGCTGATATGCACAAGAGAATTTTAACACTATATATATCATTTTAAGCATAGAAATAATCAATATAACCTAGAAAATTTCAATTATTCCCTGAAAATAAAACACTGATGTTTGCATTAAAACAATATAAAAGTATTATAATACATAATTCCCAGTCAAGAATTTATTTTTAAAAATGTTCTGTACCAATAATATAATTATGACTATTTCTAATTACCATGTACTTGGCTTTTATCAATTTCTTTATCTGGCTTTCTGATACTGCATTATTCAACATATATCATTACCAGGTTAGCATGAAAATTAAAACTCTTTAGGAATGTTGACATTTCAGTCCTAAGGAAGGATTCAATAGAGGAAACCTGTCACCCACCACTGTCCAAATCATTGACAAAGGACAAAATAGACCTAGTGTGCATGAAGTTAACATGAGATTAGCTGAAGTTGTGCTCTGATAGATGATAAAATTGCTGCAGAACTTATTTTGATAGCAGTTTTTACATTTTATATTTTTTAATTTAATAAAATAACCATAACAAATGTTTACTGAGTGCTGATTATGTGCTACTGTGCCAGTTCCAAATGTGAAATAATAATAATTTTGCTACCTAAATAATAGTAGGATAAAGCTACAGAAGTTCATAGTGATTAGGCAAAAATACCCTTTAACATATAGATGGGAAGTACTAGATAATTCTACAAAAATAATGTCTATGATATTGGCTTATTAGAGATAGATTAATAGATATTATAGATAATCCCTATAAAACAGATAATGCTGATGAAAAGTCATAGATTCATAAAATTTGTTATTCTGCTTGTATTTGTTGATTCACCCTGACCAGAACATCCCTTGATCCCATTCTATTTCTCCTTAGTACAAAGTAAATTCAAACCACATATCTCTGAGAAGCCTTTCTAGATTCCTTCACTCATCTCTGCCATTCTGGACTTTCATGGGTATGAAAGTAGACCTTTATTGAGTACATATTATGCTCCATGCTGTTATTAAATTATGCACATAAATATTTACCCTAATTATACTATAATGCTGGAATGTCAAGAATTATGGTCCTGAGATAGTAGTATCTTATATAGACTCTATTGCAATTAACATTTATTTAATTTATGTTGTACTCTTTTCTCCATGAATATGGTGTACTTATCTTAGACTTTAATAAAATTTACATGGTATTTTCATGATAATATGTAAAGTAATGAAAATCCATGCATGATGTTCAAATATTATGCTTTTACCTAATAAAATATTTAAATTAAAAAAGATATATAATTTAGAGTCAAATGTTACAAAACTGTAATAGCTCCTCATACATTCCCAATACCATATCCTGCTTCTCCTAATCAACCAGCTTTATTTGTTATTCATGTCCGTATCTTACTAAAAAAGTGTGGGCTGTACTGATGTTTCCACTTTAAGCATTACATTTTCCAATAGAAAAGATAAAGATTTAGCAGTATTTCACCCTCTGATCCCATTATTATCACATAAGGTCTCACTTTCTACCTGTTAGAAATATCATGTAATTTTTATTGGCTAAATATCAGTATTTACTGTGTAAAATCTTATTCACAGGTGAGACATGTAGTGTGCTATAATTATGTTCGTAAAAAATTTTGTTTTCTCTGAATGTAATTGTCTAATATTGCATTTATGTATTTAGAGTTAAGTTAGCTCTTAATTAAACCTACTCTCCATTGTCTAAGAAGCTGCTAAATGCATTCAAATGCAATAGTTACTATCTCAGTTTAACATTCTTGAAGATATCTCCCCAAAAACTTTAAATGTGCTCTCATGTGAACAATTTTCCATTACACTTGCTGCACAGTTATCATCCTTCGAACTCCCTTCATTATTATTTTGAAGATTCAGTTTACCTCTCTCATAGGGTAGAATCTCCATCTTTTCTTCCTCTTTATTTTGTTGGCAGTCTCTCCAACAGCTTCATAAGAAAAGTTGTGTGCTAGGCAACTTTTTAAGGATTTGGACAGCTGAAAAATGTCTTGAATTAATTCTTACACTTATTTGGCAGCTGGTTAGGTCTTAAGTTATGAAAAGTTTTCCCTCCATCATCCTGTAGCATTCAGAGTTGCTGATGAGAGGGCTGATCTCATAGTGTCTCTTGATCCTTCTGTTGTCTGTAAGTTTTTAATATTTTCTCTTTGTTCTTAGTGTTCTGAGAATTCACAATAATGTCCTACAGCATACAGCTACTTTTACCCTTTGTCCTAATTTCTTTCAAACTGGAAAATCAAGTATGGGAAATTTTCTGAAGTACGTTTTTGATTATTTTCTCCCCTGATTTTTCTGTTTTCTCTTTGTGAATATAATACAGAGCACAGAGACCTGACTTTGAAAAGGCTGAAGGATCTTTTTTTTCCATCTGAATAGATGCATATATCATTGATCTTCATCCTGTATACTTTTTAAAGAATATCATTAAAGGTCATGAATTACCCTCTAAGAATCACCATAGCAACATGCTATAAATTTTGTTACATAGTATTTTTTTTTATCAGTTCAAAACTATTTTCTAATTTCCATTATGATTTCTTCTTTGAACATTGGGGGTTTTAGGACATATTTCTTTCCTTTTTCTTAATTTATACATCTTTCTAGGTACATAATGGTAATCCAATACATGTATACAATGTGTAATAATCAAGTTGGGGTAATAAACATTTTCATCTCTTCAGCCATTAATCATTTTTATGTGTTGGCAATTTTCTGCTCCTCTAAGTCCTTTTGAAATATATCATAAGTTGTTTTAACCAATAGTTACCTTATTATGCTAATGAAGAATAAGGAGTGATTTTTCTATGTTTTTGGTGTCCCTAATTGAATTTCTTACTGTCTGGATGCCCTTCTTGGTCTCTAGCAACCACTATTCCATTCCTTTTTTCTACAAGGTTGACTTACTGTTTTCCACAAATGAGCAAGAACATGTGATATTTGTCTTTCTGTGCCTGGCTTGTTTCACTCAACATAATGATCTCCAATCCCATCTATGTTGCTGCAAATGACAGGATTTTGTTCATGTTTTCTTTATCCATTCATCCACTGAAGGGCATCTGGATGGATTCCATATTTGGGCTGATGTAAACAGGCACATATTTCTTATTTTCCACATGCATACAGACTTTTTTTTGGTTATTCATCTAACTTACTGAATTCCATCCAATGACTCAA